TTATGAGAGACAGAAAAAGAGAAGATACATAGAGACATAGGAAAGAAGGAAATGTGATGACTGAGGGAGAAATTGGAGTTATGTTGCCACAAGCCATGGCATGTCAGGAGCCACCAGAAACTGGAAGAGGCAAAGAAGAATTCTCCCCTGAGTCTTCAGAGGGAATGTGGCAGTGCCGACACCTTGATGTTGGACTTCTGGCCTCTAGAACCATGAGAGCATAAATTTCTATTGTTTTAAGTTTGCAGTAATTTGTTGCAGCAGCCCTATAAAACTAACATAGCATCCAGTGCTAAAATGCACCCTTTGCACTTATCAAAGCAAACAGTCAGTTCCTTAAGGTTTACATGTCTTAGCCTTCATTCTTGCAAAATTTTCATCCCAGACTTTTACAAAACTACAACAAAGCCCCAGAAGGAAAAAAAAGACAAGAAGAAGGAATGGAGGCTAGGCCAGAAAAAAAGAAGAGGTGCCTAAAACATTTTAAATTCAGCTCCATGTTTTTCTTCTCCTACCTTTTATACATAAGAAAAAGAAATCAGAACACAATAATTCTTTCTTTGGAATCCAAGTTATCTAATCTGCTTAATTGTCAGATGCTTTAGTGAAAAAATCAATAACAAAGTTCTCCTATCAGTTGTATTACTATTTTTTGTAATGCTCTCCTCTTAAAATTTATTCTGTTCACATTAGCTTATTGGTAGTGGAACTCCGATGAATATGTTGATATGCATTCACTATTTCAGTTTTCCCTCTAAAATAAACACAATTTTATTGCTAGCTCCTCCAAAATCCTCTGTGGTTAAAGGATACTGCCTAGGACAGCTTTTTTCCATATGTTGGCTCAGCATCCCAGACTGCTTTGATCTTAAGGCATCTCAGCATCAACCTGTGCTTCCATAATTGCTGCAACAGGAAAAGACAGCAGAAGAAAGTCTTGCACTGGCAGTTACATACTTCTGCTTGGACATGACACACATCATCCACATTTCATTGGTCAAAGAAAATCACACCTCAAGGTAACAGAGGAGTGAAACCCTCCAGTGTTTCCAGAAGGAGGAGAACAGAAATATTGACAGTGGCTAGCAAAGTAAACAACTGTTTCTCATCTCACCTATTTGAATTCTTGACCACAAGTCTACAAAGTGCCTCAAGTGATATCTTACTTTTCTAATTACTTATTGTTAGACCAGAAACTATAATTACAATTCTAATCTTAGAAAGGAAGTTTTCTGAAAAAGAAAGACTTATCAAGAAATAGTCTTCTCAAGTGTTCTCCCTTGTATTTTAGGTGATGTAAAAATAATATTTCCTTACAAATGAAATTATATTGGTGTCATCGTAGCCAGGTAACTTGAAAATAAAGTTACAATTTCTAAAATCATAGTCATGAAACCAAAACTAATTCCTCAAACTGAATAATCGAAAGATAATCATGTATGTTTTACCAAGATTTTACTGAAAGCAATGATAGTTTTTGTCTCCATTGGAGTGTTTGAAAATTGGAGCCTCCATAAAAAATGAGAATAAACCTGTTATTCTCAGCATGTACAGCATGATGACCTTTGCCTAGTTTTTTCAGATAGAAAACAAAGGTGTGAAGCTGGTAACTTTAATGGATAATTAATATTAACCAAAATTCATGCAATTGCATAACAATAATTATAATCTGGTAAAAGGATTTCAGCATATACAACTTTAACTTTTGAGGATATGACCATTTTTAAGCCAATAAATTTTCTAAATGAATGACTAATTTGAATTGTAAACATACTATGAGATAAGTACCAAAGAAGAAATTTTGTTGTAACTCTATATTATTCTATGCTTTTATTAATACTAAAATATTCAATGAATAACATATTAATTGTAGGAAAGAATAGGTGGAAAAGTAGGAAAATAAAGGAACTGGTTCATCTTTTTAAAGAAGAGAGGAAGTAATACAATACATTACCTGGAAGAAATCTTATAAAGAAAGACAAAACTATTGAAAGTTGTGTTAACTACACAAAGATTCTGAATGGGACAAGAATATTATCTACTAATGGGAAATCCATTCATATTTATATTAAAATAAATACTAAGTAAAAATACCCCTACACAATCATCCTTTCATCCATTCCAGAAGTACTTTTCCATTTAAAAAAATCATTTTTCAAACTTTGTAGTCCTAAACCCACTTCTTTTGGTTTAGCAGTCATTAGCTAATATTTGACATTCACCTCCAAGTTAATACCTTCACTAACCCAGAGAGCTTTTAACCTTTACAACAATAATCATAATACAGAGAGACTTGCTAGATTGTCCTTAGATCCATAATGCATCAATTTAAAATTTTGTTTTTGACAGTGATGAAGTTGTGTGAAGGCATGCCTGAATGTCTTCAGGCAAAATTTAAAAAGCTATTGGGTATTCACCAAATGATGTTCAGTTCCATTGACAATCCTATTGTTAACCTCTCAGTGAAGTTCTGTGAGATAATTGCTTTTTCAACCTGTACAAATTCTTGAAGAAACAGATTGTGCCATTCTAGCTTCAAATGCTAGCCTCTAACTCAAGTTTTTTTGGTTTGATAGAAGAAAATATATGTTTACCTTTTCCATAATGTTTATGATTTTCAGTTTGGCCTCAAAACATAGTTTCCAAAAAAAAAAAAATGGGGGGCTGGCCCGTAACCGAGTGGTTAAGTTCGCGTACTGCGCTTCGCCGGCCCAGGGTTTTCCTGGTTCGGATCCTGAACGTGGACGTGGCACTGCTCCTCGGGCCACGTTGAGACGGCGTCCCACATGCAACAACTAGAAGGACCTGCAACTAAGACATACAACTATGTGGGGCGGGGGGAATTTGGGGGAGATAAAGCAGAAAAAAAAAGATTGGCAACAATTGTTAGCTCAGGTGCCAATCTTCAGGAAAAAAAAAAAAACACATGGTTTCCCCTATCCCTCCCAATTATTGGATCATTTTAATTCCTCATTCTAGGGCTTTTTCTCACCTACTTGATTATATTTTTCTTTAGCTGAGGCAATGAGAATTATACAGTTTTCTGAGTACTATTCACATAAAGAGGGAAAGCTTTCATTTACTTTGTTTCCAGAAAACTTGCTAAAAACAGTCAGCATTTTATTACCTATTTTTAAAGAGTCATGAATAGAATGAGATTTTCCTTGTAGACTCATTGGTCGGACAAAGAAAACCGAAAAAGTAATATTACACCATATCCAACTCTTTTCATAACTCAACTGTTATTTTAAATAGGTTAGAATGTAGTCCCCTTGAAGCCAAGGACCTTGCCTGTCTTGTTTCACTGTTGATGTGCCCCTGGTTCTACAGCAGGGCTTAGTATGTAGTAGGCACTCCATATGTGCTGGTGAAATAGATCCATAAGTAAATATTGAATGTCTCTAGAGGAAATTCTAAGCCTGGACATCACTATTATTAGCAAATGTAGCTATGGGGACACAGTAATGTGAATTGGGGAAGAGAAATTATTTTGTGACTTTCTAATCTATCTTTCCCTATTTTATAATCCTGCAAAGTTTATCTCATATTTAAAGGAACAGGGAAATTTTCTTGGCAACCTGACTCTAAGATTTTTTTTTTGCTGGTTTTTTCCAAGAAACTGGGTATGATAATTAATATTTGAAAAGTTACAGAAACATGCTTACAGCCTATTTCTTACAATGTTCTAAGCAACAGTTCTGTATCGACTCAAATCTCTGGAAACTTAACTACAAAATTGTACTAATTTCTTATAGAATGTTCTCACAAGGGGACTTTCATGGGACTTCTTATGTTTATTTGAATGTTTGCAAACAAAAATATATTCATTTAATACTTGTGTAACTTCAGAGATAAACATAGGAAATAAAATGTAATATTACAGGGCCGACTCCGTGGCCGAGTGGTTAAGTGCACGTGCTCCACTTCAGCGTCCGGGCTTTGGCTGGTTCGGATCCTGGGCGCGGCCATGGCGTCACTTGTCAGGCCACGTTGAGGCGGCGTCCCACATGCCACAACTAGAAGGACCCACAACTAAGATATACAACTACGTACTGGGGGGATTTGGGGAGAAAAAGCAGAAAAGCAAAAAAAAAAAAACAGATTGGCAACAGTTGTTAGGTGCCAATCTTTTAAAAAAAAATTAACATTACACTCTTGAGTGAATGACTAGTAAATACAATACCTATACCAAATACGTTTCAGCTGGTTTTGCAAAACTGCTATCCAACATACTGTCCAGTTTATTGCTAAACCCTTACATAATGATCAGTAACCAACTCTTCCTGGAATTTACAACAAGATGAAAGTTTTTTTCTCTCCTGAAGAATTGATATAGAGAATTTCCTTTTATTGTTATTTTTCATATTTCTGTATTTACTCCCAGCAAGGCATTAGGATTTGCATTCAGCCTATGTTTACTTTTTGGATAAATTACTCCCAGCCTTTTCTTGATTTTACTTTGTCTTTTAAACAGATTTTTAAAAATTTGCTCTTGCAAATTTCTTCCATTGTAAACTACCTTAAATATTTTATCAAATGCAATAAAGTGCATTAGGACAAGCAAGTTAGGATATCCTTGGGTAGTTTGGAGAAAACTTAGTAAAATACTGAACTTAGTTTTTCTGAGCCTCAGCACCTCCATCTGTAAAGTGAGACTAAAGTATCCACTTCACAAAGTTATCAAAAAGGTCGAGAGAAGGAAAAATAAAGGGTTTAGAACATTGGTGAGTAAATGGATGGTGTTCACTAAGTATTCCTAAGCTGATCCTCTAAATAGCAAATTATCCCACATTAAGCCTTCTAGACCCAGAAGAACTCAGGTCACTGGCATCAGGGAATTGTGCATAATGACAATGAAGTAATGGTTGTACGTTTTAACTTGGAAAATAAAATATCATCCAATAAATATATTTTAAATTACATATGCTTAAGATGATTTTTTTATTACCCATTTTTAAACTTAAAACTTCAAGGGAAGGCAGATGGTTTCTGTAACTTTCCCGATAATTATTTGTCCAGGGCATGACATTTCACTACGAGATAAAAGGTAATAAATAAACCTGAAAATGTCACTGTATTTGACTACGCTGAGATCGTGTGTTAGAGATGATCAAGACTACTTAGTATTTCAGTATTTTTTTGACAGTATCCTACTATTTCAGTCAAAGAATATGACAATTCGTCCTATTTGATTTTTTGTTTGTTTCTAAGTTCCATTCAAGGCACAGCTGCAAGTAATAAATAAATATCTACATTAAATGGTAAGATTTATTTCAATTTTAGTGAACACTTTGAACACCTTTTTAAAACTGATATTTGAAAAGATGGTTAGATAAGTTAAATTTTTTTAAAAAATAGAGCCAAAGCTTGAAATTTAGACTTACATTACCGGAAAGGTCCAAATTTGTTTCTGGATGTTCATTCTCTTGCAGTGTGTTCGGACCGGGAGGAACACAGGGACTGAAGGCCATGAGGTCGGTCTTGGGTGGCCCCTCTCCAGAACACACCTTCTGCCTCCTCTGCTGCGAGTACGACCAGCTCCCCACCGCGCTGGAGCACACCAGCCTGGGCTTCCCCGGCCCGCAAGCACCCTCGGAGGGCAGTGCCGAGCACCGCAGCGCCGTGTACAGCAGCAGCGTGAGCACCAACAGGCTGGACACCGCGCAGATGGCGATGATCAGGTACACGTTGACATCCACCAGCGCCGTCTCTGCGCTCGAGGCGCCCACCTGCGCCCACGACGAGGCCTTTGGCGCCTGGCCGCTCTCCACTAATGACAGTAGCACAGTGGCCGTGGCCGTCAGCGCCGGCTCGCCGTGGTCCTTCACCAGCACCAACAGGCGCTGGCGCGGCGAGTCCGCCTCGTCCAGGGCGCGAGTCGTGCTGATCTCGCCCGTGTACAGCCCCACGCGGAACGGGCTGCGCCCCCCACCCGCCGCCGGCTGCAGCTCGAAAGACAGCCACGCGTTGTAGCCAGAGTCCGCGTCCACCGCGCGCACCTTCGCCACCACGTGGCCCGCGCCCACCGACCGCGACACCAGCTCGCTCACCGCGCCGGCCCCGCCGCCCGCCCCAGGCGGCAGCAGCGCGGGCGCGTTGTCGTTCTCGTCCAGCACGAACACCTGCAGCGTCACGTTGCTGCCCAGAGGCGGCACGCCCGCGTCGCGCGCGCTCACCTGGAACTGCAGCAGCTCCAGCTCCTCGTGGTCCAGCGGCTGCAGCGCGTATACCTTGCCGCTCTCCGCGTGCACCGACACGTAGCTCGACAGCGCACGCTCGCCCACGCGCCGCTCCACCAGCGAGTAGGACACCCGCGCGTTCTCCTGCGCGTCAGCGTCCCGCGCAGACACCGTGAAGATGTGGCTGCCAGGCGGGTTGTTCTCCTTCACGAACACCGTGTACTCGGGCTGCGCGAACGCTGGTGCGTTGTCGTTCACGTCGGCCACCTCCACGGACACGCTGGCCGTGGCCGACAGTGAAGGCGAGCCCCCGTCCTGCGCTATCACCACCACCTCATAGTTCTCCATGCTCTCGCGGTCCAAGGCGCTGTCCAGCACCAGCGAATAGTAATTCTTGAAAGTGGACACCAGCTTGAAGGGGACATGAGGCGTCAGGGAGCAGGTCACCTGGCCGTTGACACCGGAGTCACGGTCGGACACGGAGATGAAGGCTATGACCGTGCTGAGTGGAGCGTCCTCCCTGACCGGCAACGACAGGGACGTGACCGCCAATTCTGGAGCATTATCATTTACATCCAGCACTTTCACTAAAACCTTGCAGTGATTTGACATTGGAGGACTTCCTTTATCAACTGCTTTTACCTGAATTTCGTAGGATTTTGCTTCTTCATAATCCAGTCTGCCAATTAGCCTAATTTCTCCTGAACTGAGATCAATTTTGAAGTGTTTTTGAATGTTGAGAGGAACATCATTGCCAAAGGAAAACACAATTTCCCCATTTACACCTTCGTCAGCGTCAGAGGCGTTTAATGTGGTCACTAATGTTCCATTTGCCGTAGTCTCTAATAAGTGGACTCTGTACACGGCCTGAGCAAACAATGGGGCGTTATCATTAACGTCGAGCACCGTGATCAGCAGTTTAACTGTACTTGCCAGCTCTGGTTTGCCCCCGTCAGTGGCTGTCAATAATAAATGAAGTTCTGGTGTTTCTTCCCTGTCCAAAGATTTCCTCAATTCAAGCGAAAGTGACTTACTCAGTTCATCACTTGCCTGTACATCCAAAGAGAAATAATCACTGGGGCTGAGGGTGTACGTTAGAAGAGCGTTGGTACCAATGTCTGCATCAGCAGCGCCCTCTATCGGGAAGCGTGAATCCAGCAGTCTAGATTCAGGAATAAATAACCTTTGTTCTCTCTCTCTGAAGACCGGTGGATTATCGTTAATGTCCTTCACCTCCACCTCCACATGGAAAACCTGCAGCGGCCGGTCCACCATCACCTCCAGGTGGATGCTGCACTCCAGGCTCTGTCCGCACAGCTCCTCGCGATCGATCCGAGAATTCACAAACAAAATGCCATTCTGCAGATTTACCTCCAGAAGGTCCCCGCGGCCTTTGGACGCCACCCGGAACAGGCGCGGCACCAGCTCCGCCAGCTCCAGCCCCAGGTCCTGGGCGATGCGGCCCACGAAGGTGCCGTGTTTGGCCTCCTCGGAGACCGAGTAGTGGACCTGCCCGCTCCCAGCCTCCCAGGCAGCAAAGAGCAGAAGTGAGAGCAGCAGGGGCCGGGCTCCCTTGCCTCCTCGCCTGGAAAACAGCATCGCAAAAGCGCTACACCTTTCGTACCGCTCTCACTTTACTTCAAAAAGCATGCTTTTTTTATTCTATATTTTCAGTAATTAATCTCCTTACCGTTTTTGTCTTCTCTCGGGTTGTGACAAAATGGAGCTTCCTCCTTTAGTTTTCGGCGATCTGTACAGTTCCATCGACAAGACTTGTGGTATACAGCGACATCATGTGGCTAATGGTGTGGTTTTTAGATCCGTTCATTGATTTCCAAAATAGTCTCTACATTCGATATCTACTCAATGCAATCATTTTCAATTTTATGTCCTTCAAGGACTGGGACATTTCAAATCTCACTTGAGAGTATCTAGTTCAGTATTTTTCCTTTAGCAGTTTTCACAATGATATTACAATTGGATTTTGGGAAAATCAAGACATGCCTAAGTAACCTTACCTCTTTGTATTTAAAACAATTTATCAGCTCATATGTTTTTATTACTAAATATTTGACACTGAATACTGGAGTTGTAAAATAAGGCACTTTGACCACTGAAGTTCACCTTATTCTGGGATAATTTGGGTATTTATTTTTTAAATGACATAATATATCATTACCATGTACTTACATATGAAATTTTAAGAAATTTCCTACATTTAAAATTCAATGTTGTATGAACAACTTCATCATTTTCTGATACTTTAAATCTTAGAATAATGATATTTGGGGCATTTCCACTTGTTATGTAACATCGAAGTGATGAACTTAAAACTTTGACCCCCAAAAGTCATTATTCCAAATTCAATGTGACCATTGGATCTTTATTCCTGCATCAAATTTTCAGCCATACTTTTTGGCTAAGATAAAACATCGTCATATTTCAATAAAAATAATATGAATATTGAATCAATATCAAGTACACATATCTGAGAATTTTATAATAATCCAAAGTTAAAACTTCAAATGTAAATCTAATGTGAAGATTAGGTTTTCAGAAGAAACTACTTGAGACTAATCTGTTAATAAAATTTTCCTTCAACTTCAGCCCAATTCACAATCAGAACCCCATAGCAACACCAAAATTTGACTAAGAAATGTGGTCTGAATAAACTATCACTAGGTAATTTTTAAAAGAATGGCCTAACAGTTCAACTTTAAGTACTATGGATATTTAAGGACATTAATATAAACAAGGATTAATCTATTATGTCTTCATAATTAGAAAGCCCAAATCATTGTTTATTTGATAATTAAACTATAGATAAAACATGATGCTATTTTATTTTTTAAAAAACAGCTATAATTTTAATAGTAGTTCAGTATAGTAATTACTGTATTACAAAAGGTACAGCAATGTAAGATACATCAATATCTTCTTATTCTCAGAATTAAGCAAATTCAGAACTTGGAGGGGGCAGCCCAGTGGCATAGTGGCTAAGTTCTCAGGCTCTGCTTTAGCAGCCCAGGTTCCCCGGTTAGATCCTGGGCATGGACCTACACACTGCTCATCAAGCCATGCTGTGGCAGCATCCCACACAGAAGAACTAGAAGGACTTACAAATAGGACATACAACTATGTACTTGGGCTTTGGGAAGAAAAAAAGAGGAAGATCAGCAACAGATGTTAGCTCAGGGCTAATCTTCCTCACAATAAAAAAAAAAAAAGAACTTGGAACTTTTCTAAGTGTCAGTAAACTTAGACAATACTGTCAATATTTGAACGTGTAGGTACTTTAATGTTATAAATTTCTTTGTGATACATTTTATTACTATGAAGACTATATAGAATAAGTGCTAACCACAATCCACTGACATTCAAATATTTCAAAAACAAGACTATTGAATTAAATATACTTTGTTTTCTATAGTTAGCTTATTTTACCTTTAAAAATGTCTATATTTAACCAAAAATTATATAATTATCATGCTTTAATACTAAGAACTACAATAATCTTTAAGTATAATTTCAACCACAAACCAGATTGTAATGTTTCATGCTCTGTCTTCCTTTTGATGAAAACTGTTCAATTTGAAAACGTTCTCAATATTAGAAAAATGTCATTTACAATGATCAGATGACACTTCTTTGAAACATAAAATGATGGTTAACCATGGACTTCATTATCATGGTAGTGATCATGAAAATAGAAGGCTACATAATACTATCCTAAAGGGAAAAATATGGGAGTTTAACGACTTGAAAAAAAATTTTATCAGACAAAGCTGTTAAAGAAGCAAAGTGTCTGTATATTATTGAAGTTAAGCTAGTATAAACTAAAATTAGAGTGTTATAACTTTAAGATATTAAATATACTCTCTACAGTAACCACAAAGAAAATAGCTATAGAATCTGAATAGACACATAACTAGTAAAGAGATTGAATCAGTAATTTTAAAAAGTTTCCCAAAAAAGAAAATTCTTTGACCCAACGGCTTCACTGGTGAATTATACCAAACATTTAAAGAAGAAATAATATGAATATTTCTCAAAATTTTACCAAAAAAAATTTGAATACAAGGGAATACTTTTAACTCATGCTTTGAGGCCAGCACTACCCTGATACCAAAGTCAAAGACACTACAAGAAAACTGCAGATCAATATTCCTTATGAACGTTGATGCTAAAACCCTCAAAAAATATTAGAAAACTTAGTTCAGCAACATGTTAAAAGGATTATAAACCATGAGCAAGGGATTTGTTCCTGGAATGCAAGGATGGTGCAACATACATCAATCGATCAATGTAATACACTGCATTAACAAAATAAAGGGAAAAAACACACATGATCATCTTCAATAGATTCAGAAAAATTATTTGACAAAATTCAACACCCTTTCGTGATAAAAACACTCAAAATTTTAAGAATAGAAGGAAACTACCTCAGCATAATAAAATGCCAAAAACCCACAGTGAACATTTTATCAATGATGAAAGAATGAAAGCTTTTCCTCTAATATCAGGAACAAGGCAAGGATTACCTCTTCTATTCAACATAGTACTGGATGTTCCAGGCATAGAAACTGGGCAAGAAAAATAAAATAAAAGGCAACCAAATTGTGAAGGAAAAAGTAAACATCTTTGTTCACAGATGATATGATCTCATATGTAGAAATCCCAGAAGATTACACAAAAAAACTTAAAATTAATAAATGAATTAACCAAAGTAGCAGGATACAAAGTTGACACACAAGAATTAGTTGCATTACCATACACTGAGTGAGAAATTTGAACAGGAGATGAAGAAAACAATTTGATTTAGAATATCATTAAAAAATCAGGAATTAACTGAGGTGAAGGATTTGGATGGTGAAAGCAACAAAAACATTTCTGAAAGAAATTAAAAAACACATAAATAAATGGAAAGACATGTCATGTTTATGTATCAGAAGACTTATTATTGTTAAGATGTCAATAATATCCAAAGTGATCTATAGATTTAATATAATCCCTATCAAGATACTGATGATGTTTTTTGCAGAAGTAGAAAAACTCATTTTAAAATTCTTACAGAATCTCAAAGGACCCCAGATAGCCAAAACAATCCTTAAAAAGAATAACAAAGCAGAAGGACTCATACTTCCTGATTTCAAAACTTACTACAAAGCTACAGTAATCAAAACTGTGTGGTACTGGCATAAAGACAGACCAATGGAATAGAATGGAGAGTCCAGAAATAAATCACATATATGGTGAAATGATTTTCAACAAGGGTGCCAAGCCTATTTAATGAGAGGAAAGACAGTCTTTTCAACAAATGCTGCTGAGAAAACAGAATATCCACGTGCAAAAGAATGAAGTTATACCCTTACCTAACACCACATACAAAAATTAATTCAAAATGGATCCATGACCTAAATGTAAGACCTAAAACTATATAACTCCTAGAAGAAAACAGGTCAAAAGCTTCATGACATTGGGTTTGGTAGTGATTTCTTGGATATGATACCAAAGGCACAGGCAACGAAAGAAAATATAGACAAATTAGACTTCATAAAAATTGAAAATTTTTCCATGAAAAGACACTATCGAGAACTTCCAGTTTCTAGTTCTGAATATAAGGAGCTTGGAAATCACCACTCCATCCTAATAACAAGTGAAAAGCTGAACAAACTGAAAAATCAACAACTTTTCCTGGATGTATAAGATAGGAAAGGACACAGGACAAATCACTGCCCCCAAGACTACAGAGACAGGTAGGGAAATACATGGTGTCACAGACTACTAGTGCAGAGACTCAAGAGTGGGAACCAGTGCTGGAGTAGGGAAATCTGAACTGTAATGGACAAATTGCTGGTAGCTCATTGTGGACAAGACTGAAAGTTGAAAACTCCAGGAGGAAGCAGTCATGGGGGGCCCCCAGAATATTTTGAGATTTACCTCCAGGAGCTTGAACAGATTCCCACAGTTAGATATCAGAGAAAAATCCTCTCATGCTTCTGGCAGTGGGAGGGGGAAAAGAACCATTTTGAAATACTCAGAGCACCCTGTTCTTCTTAACAAGGCATTCCCTCAGGGGAAACTAATGAGATACTAACCTCTTGGGTTATTATCAGAGCCTAACTGATCTGGGGGAAGAGAAATACCCAATTCCAACAGGCTCTAGCCTTCCATGAGGGAGGAGGAAAATACCCAACTACAGAGCATTCTAGCCATCCTGTCTGACCTGGAGGGAGGGTAGAAAAAACTGAGAAACACTCGTAAAGTTCACAGTCTAGATGCATAAGCTCAGGAAAAGACTGAGAATCATAGAACTATAGAATGCTTCCCTTCCTCCCTAAGCCTCACCACCATGTAATTACAGATCTATTTACAGCAGTTCCTTGTACCTGATACATCATGTCCAGCTGTCAAGAAAAAATTACGAGGCACATCAAAAGGCAAAAAAAGAAAACTACAACTTGAAGAGACAGAGTCAACATCAGAACCAGACATGACAGGGATGTTGGAATTATCAGACTGGGAGTTTAAAAGAACTATGATTAATATGCTAAGGGCTCCAATGGATAAAGTAGACAGCATGCAAGAGCAGATGGGTGATGTAAATGGAGAGATGGAAATCCTAAGAAAGAACCAAAAAGAAACGCTAGAGACAAAAAACACTGTAGCAGAAATGGAAGCTGCCTTTAATGGGCTCATTAGTAGACTGAACATGGCAGAGGAAAGAATCTCTGAGCTAGGGGATATATCAACAGGATCCTCAAAAACCAAAAAGCAAAGAGAACAAAGACTGAAAACACAGAACAGAATATCCAAGAACTGTAGGACAACAACAAAAGGTATAACATATATGTAAGGGGAATACCAGAAGAAAGACAGAAAAAAAGAGAAGAAATATTGGAAATAATAATGACTGAGGGGCCGGCCGGTGTTGCAGCAGTTAACTTTGCATGTTCTGCTTCTCAGCAGCCCGGGGTTCGCCAGTTCAGATCCCGGGTGCAGACATGGCACCACTTGACAAAAAGCCATGCTGTGGTAGGCGTCCCACATATAAAGCAGAGGAAGATGGGCATGGATGTTAGGTCAGGGCCAGTCTTCCTCAGCAAACAGAGGAAGATTGGCAGTGGTTAGTTCAGGGCTAACCTTCCTCAAAAAAAAAAAATAATGACCAAGAATTTCGCCCAAATTAATGTCAGACACTAAATCACAGATCTATAAAGCTCAGAATAACACCAAGCAGGATAAATACCAAAAAATCTACACCTAGGAGTATCAATTTCAAACTACAGAAAATCAAACATTAAAAGCTAACACTGAAAGAAGCCAGAGGGGAAAAAACATCTTACCTATAGAGGAACAAAGATAAAAATTACATCCAACTTCTCCTCAAACACCATGAGAACTTCCTCAACTTGATAAAGAGCTTCGATGACAACCCACAGCTAACATTATACTTAATTGTGAAGAATTGAATGTTTTCACCCCAAGATTTGGAAAAAGGCCAGGATGTGTGATCTCACTAGTTTTATTTAGCATAGTGCTGGAAGTTCTACCCCGTGTAATAAAGTGAGAAAAGGAAATAAGAAGCGTACAGATGAGAAAGAAAGAAATAAAACTGTTGCTATTTACAAATGACACAATTGTGTACATTAAAATCCCAAGGAATTAAAAAAAACCTCCAAGAATAAGTGAGTTCAGCAATGTCACAGAATGCAAGATAAACATACAAAAATGAATTGTATCTCCATATACTAAAAATGAAAATACACATATCAAAATTAAGCTTAAAATATAATACCACTCACATTAGCTCAAGAAAAGATACC